TCCGTCACTTAAAATTGCAACAGCAATACTTAGAGCTGAGTTAATTAAAGCATATATATGAATTGTAAAATCAAATAATTATTTTTTGTAATGCTAGGCTTCAAAGAATTCCTTTAAGATTGCGTGAAAAGCTGATTGGAAAAGACTCGTAAATCGGCCTAATCGGAAACCAAAGGACCTAAGAATTGGGATCATTGATCTGTGCGTGATGCTCTCGGAGAACCCTCCTGCAACGCATATGCCATGCTGAGCTTTCGACTGTCAAATTCGAGAAAGTGTTCTTCGAAAAATTAACGAAACACGAAGCCAAGAATGGTGACTGGTGGCAATTTTGCCTAATTCTTATAACCTAATTTTGTAATCTTAATATTTGGCTGGCTGCTTAATGTTTCCCTCTACATGCTTATTGATGAAAAAATCCGGTGGGCGAAGTGAAGGTGTCAAATATCTTTTTGCTTAGCTATATCATGGGGAGTTTGGTATTGATATTTCGACTCATGTTTTTGTGCGTTACTACGTGTAGCATATTACTTACTAAATGAAAGATTGAACAAAATAAGTATCATGAAGACGCAAAGAATACGAACATAGTGAAAAAACACTCACTTTGGTGTAGAAGTTGCAAGTAATTTCAGCACTAGTGAGACCAATATTTGGCCAAACGGTTTTGGGCAGGCCAACAGCAATGCTCTTCATCTCTTCTTCCGACTCTTTAACGGCTCGAGATAATAAAAGAGCTTCTATGTGGGAGCGGCGACTTAAGTCGATCAAAAAAGGAGCTTCCTCACCAGTCGAAATAAGCAAAGATTGCAAGTCAATTGATAAACATTCAAGCAAGAGTTCCTCAAGAGTCGTAAATTTATGATCAGGAGTCGTCGGTATCTCCACTGGTTGTCCTGGTAGCTTTTGCACACCTCGCTTTGGCCCAGTGTTGACAATATTACGCCAAAAAGGTTGGCTCGCATGTTGCCGGAATGGAGGTGGACAGGCCTCAAGGAGATCGCAACAAGACTCTGCAAACCGAGCCCTATCTTGATAAGCCAGACCACTATTAATAAGCCCACTTGACTCAGAACAGATCTGTTGGTAAATTTCGTTTAAAGTAGCCGATAAATGGCGTAAATCTGAATCATGGCTCTCGTCTACTAAGGGATCTGACCCTTGAGGATCAATTGATGAGGGAGTAAGAACAGTTATAGGGCGTGAAAAAATGCCATCTGAGGCATCCATGGCTCTTTGGGCTTTCATATAGGAATGACATGCAGTTAGATAGCTTTCAATCAAACGGGGCGTAGCACCAGTTTCTTGAATATATGTCAGCTAAATAAAAAATAAATATCAATGTAATAAATAATAACAGTCATTAAACTATCACAAGATATGAGTATTTCAAACCTGTTCAGCATGCATCTCTTGAAGTGCAGTATAAAATAGGCTTTCTGCCCTATCCATCATACGCTGTTGGAGAGCATAACGAGCTAGGGCAAAATTCAGCATTGCCACGAGGTATGTACGAGATATGAACTCACCGTCCTAAAGTAGAAAGAATACTTCAACTATCGTTAGCCCAAGCCGGAATAAAAAGCAGACAATCATGACAATTAAGAATGGTCCTCTCAGCAAGGCATGGGAACTAACTACCCTGTAGAATAACATACTAATTTGGCTAACCGTTTTATCTTGGGGCAAAAACTCGTCTGCAAGTGGAAGGCCTGGTCCAATTGGCAAGAAAGAGGTAGGCGAAGGACGGAAAGCGATTCCCGCGAAGGACCCAGGGACAGAGGCTGCAACGAAACTCTCAATTTGACTTGCCAATTGTGAAAGTCTTGCTGCCGATTCATCAATACGAGAAAGTATGGCCTCCAGCTCTATTCTATTTTCTGCTAGGAAGGCAGAATCCGGCACTTCTGTGAGGCCTGCAACAAGAGGAGTTAGGTTTCTGAACGGCTGAGGGAGGAGGCTGGAAGCCAAGGAGAGCTGTGCGAGGTGCGGAGAAAAAAGTAAAGTACGAAAATAAGAAGATCAAGATGGTGTGGTCTTTTGTGTGGTCGCAGTCTCCTTTCGTTGTATAGTGTTGTTTGATCTTGTTTTCGCAACTAGGTCATATTGATAGAAAGACTTAGAGGAACGCACCTCATCCAGAGTCCATTGTATGCATGATAATTTCCTGAGTTGGACCGTGGATGTGATACATTTCCAGACGTTTCGTCGGCCTCGTCAGTGAGTCTTGCCATTCTTAGCACCATACTAAAACTTGTCAGAGACAAGTAAAGCCGATTCTTTGACTAAATGTGTGCTAAACAGATGTGGTATCTCTCCTTCTGTCCTGGACTATTCACCGTTCCTATATCCTCGTATCACGCCTTTACTATCACAATTTTTCCCTTGCTAATTTAGATGTAGTGTGGTGTGACATTTTAAGCAGCATTCATGATAACCCTCCACACCCCATGCTGGTGTTCTGACCCCCCTTCACCCCTGTTCTAGGAAGGTTGATCAGTCTGCGATATTGTTACGCAGTCCTCCTTCCCTAGATCTAATCAGATTCTCCCTCTTGCCCCGTAGGCTCCGTATGCTATCTTACTGATTCAAGTATTTTACTCGACCCATGCCACCCCATCTGTGCTACTCTAGACCTTAATACCCATCCCTTGCGTCTGGGTGACTAATTCGAGGCTAAAGCCTCTAATAGTGATATTGAAGGCGTGATACGAGGATATAGGAAAGTTGAATAGCCCAGGACAAAAATGATACCACAACGGTTTGGCACACATTTAGTCAAAGAATCGGCTTCACTTGTCTCTTACGAGTTGTAGTATGGTGCTAAGAATGATAAGACTCATTGACGATGCCGACTACAATGCCGGCGAAAAGTCTGGGAATGTACCACGCCCACGGTCCGACTTTGGAAATTATCATGAATTCAATGGACTCCGAACTAGGTGCGTTCCTCTAAGTCTTCCTACCAATATCACCAAGTTGCGGAAATAAGGTCAAGCAATATCTATAAATTGAAATACGGCTTAAAAGCTATGCCACCATAAAATTTTAATCGGCACATATTCTGCAGAAACTCAAAGAAAGGTGTGCGACGCTTATGAGCCCAAAAGACATCCTGTCAATAAGATATTTCACATTTGTTCTTTTATCGTATACAAAAAGAAGGCGGCCATCGGATGTTGTTAGCAAATAGGTTGTTGCCAAGACTTGTAGGGTTCCTAGTTATCCGACCTTGATGGTTTTTAATATTTTTGACCAAATTTCCAAGAACAAAAGGAACCACAACCATGTGTACGAAATCCGAAATTTTGGTGTTTCCGACACTATCTTCCAGGGATTGGACAGCGGTGCATTGGAAGTGATCGTGCCCTGAAATTCCAGAGGAGAGAACACTCCGACAATTTTAGTCGCCCTGCTTGTAATATTTCTAGCATGCTCTCCAAGATTGTCTCAAATCCGTGTGCGCTTGTCATGAATGGCGGTAACAGAATGTGTTTGTGGGATGATTATTTCCATCCAGTCTTAGCTGCCTCTTCCAAAGTTTGGCCCATTGCGGTTTACAAGGCAATCTAGACTTCGACCGGGAGTCTGCATCCATATGTGATGGAATATAGGTTCAACTTGAGGATCAGAACCGGAATATTGGCATAAGCGAGTTAAAAGGGCCGATGGCTTAGGCCTCTAATAAGGCTTCCATTCTCTGTTGTCCTGAAGGAATGGTGAGTTCAACGATCCTCTGCCTAAGCTTCTCATAGCAATCCTGATCATGTCTATTACGTAGGAAATGTTGGGTAAGGTTAGCAATATCATCCGGAAGAAAACATTAAGGAGTTTGGTTTCATGCCTTTTGATCCAACGAGTTTTGATTAATTCAAATCGAAGATGAGGAGTAGATCTGTTTAAAGTGGGTGCTTTGGCGATTACCACGCCTATTGCAAGAATCTTACTGTCCCCTTCTGTAGAGGTGGTTTTTCTCGTTGACTGAAACATGATTAAAAACTAGGTAAATAATTTAATTCTTAGACTGCTATTAATAGTTCGAGTGTATGGCTCACAAGTTGGTGAATCTAAAATATTCAATATAAATATGTGCCCGGCTTCGCGCTACCTTATAGAATACCCCAGCTTTGTAAAACAGGAAAGTTGCATGCG